CGGCGCCGATACAGTCATCAATGTAACGGAGGAAGAGGTGGGGTTTAGGGCCAGTGTAGGTACGGAAGAGGGATTGTTCCACATAACCTACAAAGAAGCAGGCATAGCTTGGGCCCATGCGGGTACCCATGGCCACCCCCTTTGTCAGTAGGAGGTGGGAGGAATGGAAAGAGAAGTTGTTGAAGGTGAGGACGAGTTCGGCTAAGCGGATGAGGGTGTCGGTGGAGGGGGACTGGTCGGGCCTGCGGGACAGGAAGAAGCAGAGGGCCTTTAGGCCATCTGTATGGGGAATGCAGGTGTAGAGGGACTGGACGTCCATGGTAAAGATGACCGGGGAATTGGAAGTTCTGGAGGAGGTGGAGGGCGTGGGTGGTGTCACGGACATAGGTAGGGAGTTCCTGGACCAAGGGGGAGAAAATGGAGTCCAGATAGTTGGAGATCAGTTCGGTGGGGCAGGAGCAGGCGGAGACAATGGGTCGACCAGGGCATTCAGGTTTGTGGATTTTGGGAAGGAGATAGAAGGGGACAGTGCGGGGTTGGGGAACGATGAGGTTGGAGGCCGTGGGTGGGAGGTCACCTGAGGTGATGAGGTTGTGGATGGTTTGGGAGATGATGGTTTGGTGCTCGGGGGTGGGGTCATGATCAAGGGGGCAGTAGGAGGTGGTGTCGGAGAGTTGGCGTCTGGCCTCGGCGATGTAGAGGTCAGTGCGCCATACTACAACTGCACCTCCCTTGTCCGCGGGTTTTATGGTGAGGTTGGGATTGGAGCAGAGGGCTACACATTCTGCGGGGGAGAGGTGGGTAACTTGGTTCACTGTTCAGTAGAGAGGGAGAGAGTGAAGCCTTGCCTGGTCAGGCCTACATGTGACTCCTGACCCTCAATGTGGTTGACTCTTAACTGCCCTCTGGGCAATTAGGGATGGGCCTGGCCTAGCCAGTGACACCTATACCCCCCTGAAGGAGTAACAAACATGTAGGGAATGGGTTTGACGGAATCAGTGAATGCACCAGGCTCCAGGTGGTCTCTGGGTTTTTGGGCTGATCGCATCAGTATGGGGCAGTGTCTCCTGTCCTTGACAATGGTTTTATTATGTCTACCCCTGATACCTTTAACCTCCTGGAACAGGGAGTGAGAGATTGGAGCAAGAATGTTCCCCCTTTTTACTGCCCCCCACCCCCGACTTTCCATGGCTAAATGTGAATGACCTGTCCCTCGTATGGGCGGGGTGGGGGGACGTGTTTTAGAGTTTGTCAAAGTATAGTCCACCCAAAAGGTAAATGAGAATGACAGCCCAACATCAGAACGTTGGCATCTTGCGGCACCAGTTCACTCCTGAGCCAATACCTTGTAACAGAGAACTGCAGGAAGTCAGCCTGGCTCTGTGGGTTTTAGGTTAAAGATTGCATCCTGTCTCCTATTTTAAGCTGAAAACTTGTGATGCATTCAACACAGAAGTGCTCTCTCTCTCTCTGTTACACCCATTCGTTCTCTCACTCAGTCTCTTGCCTTCTGTCTCTGCCTGGCACTTTCTCTCCAGCACTCACTCACCCTGGTGCTTCATCTCTCTATCCATCAGCATGTCACTGGTTAAGCTGTCGTCCTGCATGGTTCAGAATTGCAGAGCAGCTAATGTCCCATGGAAGTGCTGTCTCATTACAGAGAGAGCTGGAGGGAGAGGACTGGTGGTGGTTTAACCTGAGGGTCACCATGCCTCAGGCGAGAGGAGAGGTTGAGAAGCAAACTCCTTCATGGTAACCTCAGCTGGTGCAGGAATTAAACCCACACTGTTAGTGTCACCCTGTATTACAAACCAGCCATCCAGCCAACCGAGCTAGCTGTTCCTCTAGTTGCAGAAGACACATCATGTTTAAGATAGACACCTAGCCCATCCACTATTAATCCTGTGTTTGATCCTCAATACCTTCCCTAATCTGGGATCCACCCAGTTCCCTTCCTACATCTGGGATCTGCTCAGTGTCCTTCCCCCATCTGGCATCCACTCAGGGATCCACTCAGTCCCCTTCCCCATCTGAGATCCACTCAAAGATATGCTCGGTGCCTTTCCACCCCATCTGGAATCCACTCAGTATTCGTCCCTAACTGGAATCCGTTCAGGGATCCACTTGGTGCCCTTCCCCATCTGGGATCCGCTCAGTGCTCTTTTTCCCAATCTGGGTTCCACTCAAGGATCCCCTCGGTCCCCTTCCCCCACCTGGGATCCAATCAGTGTTTCTCCTCCATCTGGGATTGCCCGGCCAAGAGTGATTAAGACTGGCCTGATCTGCCTGCCCTGTTGCCTACAACTGCAGAGGATGTTCTTGGGCCTACCATTACCTCAGGCCTCACTCCCAGGGGACACACCAGTAAAGCTGGGGGGGAGCGAGGCGCGCCAGTAAAGCTGGGGGGGAGCGAGGCGCGCCAGTAAAGCTGGGGGGGAGCGAGGCGCGCCAGTAAAGCTGGGGGGGAGCGAGGCAGACCAGTAAAGCTGGGGGGGAGCGAGGCAGACCAGTAAAGCTGGGGGGGAGCGAGGAAGACCAGTCTATATTGTCTTGTGTGTTTCAAAATGGATCTCCAATGTGACCAGTGTGTTCATTTCCTGTTTTTACTGGGGCGTTTTTAAAACTGTTTTATTCCGTCTGCCGTATCCCAGGAATTACAAATCCTGGCCCCTGTAACTCTACAGACCTCCCCGTAGCTTTTAAAACACTGCCATCCTTACAGCGAGCAATTAAAAGTCATTAATTTTGTTTGCAGGTGATTTTTATAAGAAGGTACTTTTCAGTCCCATGTTAAAGGGTGAAGCAGGGAGTTTGTCTATTGCTTGTGACCCCACAAGCCCTATTCTGTTGATGTGCAAATGGCAATTGATGTTCCTATTAATTGAGAGTTTTAAATCTGACGTTCTTTCATTCAAATGCGTTTGGAGAGGAAGTGTGTAAGTTTTTTTTTAAATTCTTAAACTTCTTAAAATTGTACGGAGTATGAGCCCAGCATGGCTAAGCACTTAAGAAAGGCTGTTGAACTTTATAAGAACTGCCGATGCTGGAGTCAGAGACAACGCAATGTGGAGCTGGAGGAACACTGCAGGCCAGGCAGCATCAGAGGAGCAAGAAAGCTGACGTTTCAGGTTGGGTTTCTGAAGAAGGGTCCTGACTCAAAACATCAGCTTTCCTGCTCCTCTGATGCTGCCTGGCCTGCTGTGTTCCTCCAGCTCCACACTGTGTTATCTCCATTGAACTTTTAACTTTATTTATCTACTTTGTACCTAAGATTTTGTACCTAGCTACCTTTGTACCTAACGGGAATGGAGAACACATGGCAATAAAATTTAATTCTAGTTCTGAAATTCATTCATGGGACAAGGATGTTGCTGGCTGGTCAGTGTTTATCTCCCATCCCTAACTGCCCTTTGAAAAGGTTGTGGTGAGTTGCATCTTGAACCACTGCAGTCCCTGTTCTATGGGTAGACCCACAATGTCTTTAGGGAGGGAATTCCCAGGATTTTGAGCCAGCGACAGTGAAGGAATGGCGATATGTTTCCAAGTCAGGATGGTAATGGCATGGAGGGGAACTTGCAGGGGGTGGTGTTCCCATGTATCTGCTGCTGTATCTAGATGGAAGAGGTCGTGGGTTTGGAAGGTGCTGTCGGAGGATCTTTGGTGAATTTCTGCAGTGCATCTTGTCGATGGTACACATTGCTGTGACTGAGCGTCGGTGGGGGAGGGACTGGATGCTTGTGGATGTGGTGTTAGGTCCCACCATACTCGTCCTGTGAAAAGTGCAAACAGTGTGAGTCAATAGAGATTTGTGTAAGCGTTGTCCGTGAGTCAGTGAAACCTAATGACTGTCAACAGACTGTTACAGTGCAGAAAAGGCCATTCTGCTCATCATGTCTGTGCTAGCTGCATGACCATAGAAAGTTTGCAGGTAAACTCTGGAATGTTGGCCTTTACATTTTGAGGGTCAGATTCCACAATGATTTATAGTCACGTTATTACAAAGGCCTGGTTAGACCACACCTGGAGTTCATGGTGATCTGTTTGAGGTACCATACATATTGTAGATTATCTCGGGAGTGCAGTGGTAATTCACCAGAATGATATGTAGACTCCAAATGCTGTGCTCGGAGGAGAGACTCTACCACTAGCTGCTGTATTCCCTGGAATTTAGGAGGTTAAATGTCAATTTGATGAAATTTCTGAAAGCATTGGGTGTCCGGGAGAAATTATTTCTGTTGGTTGAGAATCTAGGATCAGGGCAGAGTTTGTGGGAAACACTTCTTCATATGATTGTTTGGGACAGGTTTCAAGCCCTTTCTATTTTTAATTTTAAATTTGTGACACAATATAATTATCCAAAGGTTTGATGGGGATATGAAGCCAAGTTGCTGATTAGCTGAGGTCGCATTGAATGCTAGCATAGGCTCAACAGGCTGAAGGGCCTCCTCAGGGCAAACTGTCCTTTCTCTCAGGAAGAAATAAAGCCTTTTTTTATTGTGTATCATAAATACATAGTGAGATCTTGATCACTTTGCAAGGAAACCGTGATATTCAGAACTCTATGGTCTATTTTACAATGAACCTGTTTTCTGATTAATGTATGCACACAAATTGTCAAATTTTTATTTTCACTAGAGGGTTTTCTGAAGGTTGAAGTGTCTATGGATTCATGGTATCTCTCTTTTCCTCACTCCCTGCCTCTCTCCCTCTGCCTCCATCTCTCTCTCTCTCTTCCCCCACTTTCTCCTCCTGCTCTCTGTCTCCCCTTCCTCTTCTCTATGTGCAAACTCTCCTTCACCTTCTCTTCTCCCTCTCTCTATCTACCTCTTTCTCTATCCTCTCTGTCTCTGCGTCCCCCCACCACCTCCCTCTCTTCTCTTTCTCTTCACCCCTCTCTTCCCCACCTCTCTCTCTCTTCTCTCTCCCCCCCCGCTCTCTCTCTCCCCCCCCCCCTCCCCCCCCCCCCCACAACTTCCCTCACTGTTCCTTCTCTCCCCCAGTTCACTGAGGAGAAGCTCGGGCAGGCAGAGAAAACCGAGTTGGATGCTCACTTTGAGAACCTGCTGAGCCGTGCAGACAGCACTAAGAACTGGACCGAGAAGATCCTGCGTCAGACTGAGGTCCTGCTTCAACCCAACCCAAGTAAGATCACCCCGAGGCTAATCGATCCTGTCACTGTCCTCGGTCTGTGCGGGTAATGCTTCAGACACGTTAGCAAATATTCCAAATCCAACGCTGAATTCTAAAGGGGGAACTGTAAGTTTGAAACGGTAACAAAAAGGCTCAGTGAGGGTAATGGTGCTGATGTGATGTAGATGGAGAGATTTGAATTAGTGCCCACACAGACCTGTGAGCAAAGTTATAGGTCGTGGAATGTAAGTGTCAGTAACAACATGGATACAAAATTGGCTGAGTGGGTGGGAAACACTAATGATCAATGGATAGTAGGAACTGTCGATGCTGGAGTCAGAGATAACACAGTGTGGAGCTGGAGGAACACAGCAGGCCAGGCAGCATCAGAGGAGCAGGAAAGCTGACATTTTGGGTTGGATTTCTGAAGAAGGGTCCTGACCCGAAACATCGGCTTTCCTGCTCCTCTGATGCTGCCTGGCCTGCTGTGTTCCTCCAGC